AAAAATATACAGTAACAGCGTAACTGTTAATATTTTCTAAAATCGATTTCACAGCTTTAAAGAGGGATAAATAGCGATTCCGAAACACCTATTAAAAGCCTTTTTTCTTTAATATTTACAAAAGTTTGACCACTTGAAAGTTGACAAACTGAAAAAATGGGTAGACTCGCCCCGGTTTACGGCACAGCAACAACAGTAATTCAAGTTACAAAATCGAACTAAAAAAATATCTGTGTTATTAACTTTACAAGTTTACTAAACCCTGTAAATTTGCTTTCATTATCATAACTATTATTAATAGTTACATTTTCAAATCATTCCATATTGCTAAAAAAAGAGAGCCATTTTTTTTTTTTCGTTATTAAAAACTAAGCTGTGTCAACAAATTTTTTGAACTACAGATTTTGGATGATTTTTGACCCGAAGTAACTCCCATCCTTCTTAATTCATGAGTCAAAAATCTGAGCCGGTCAAAAAAGCAACATATTTATTGAAGGAAAAAAAAAATATTGTATCTTTCCGTAGTTATTTAGTATATTTATGATCTATTTTTTAACCTATAAGTTGTTACTCTTCCAACTTAATAATTCAAATTGGTTTGATAACTTATTTGAGTCATTCTTAATTATTCAGGATGTTGACCTTTAAAATGCTGATTAATTAATATTAACTTAGTTATGAAATCAGAAACGAAACCATGCAGAGAAATACATAGAAATATAAAATTCATAGAAATACTTTCTAAATAAACACACCTCTTTTTAATTCTTTTTGGCGGATCTGCAGAAAAATGCAGTTTTTGTGGATAAACAATTCTTTTTTTGATGACTTGAAAGATATGAGGACAACCGCATTCTGGGAGGTATGGTCAAAATAGTTTTTGTCAAGAGAGTAGTCTAAAATCCCTTTAAAGTTATTTTTATTTTTTATGTGTTTCTAATGAAGAAAAAAAAATTTCGACATTTAACTATGTCGAAATTTTTTTTTCTTCATTAGCTTAATGTATTTATCTAAAGGTAATTCAATAGAAAATCATTTTTAATTTTTCGCTATTATTTAATTTTTAATTAGTTGAAAAATTGTTGTATTGCGAAGTATGCAAATTTTTACATAAATTTTAACTAAGTGACTGTAAATGATAAAAAAAACGAAATTTGTATAAAATCGCTGAAATAGTTTGCGAGTTACAAAATTTCAAAGACAAAACGTAATTGCAAAATTTTTATTCTCAAGAACTATTAGACTGTTTTTCTGTAACTTTGTAATTTTTCTCACTTAAAATTCCATAATTTAAAATGATGCAAAAATTTATATTCCTTACAAACCAACATCTTTTTTGACTATTACTAAATAAAATAATGATAAATAATTATTTAAAAATATTTGTTTTCATGGAATCATCTTTGGATAAACAAATTTTTTAATCGTGCAACAAATTTTCCATTTGATTAAAAGTTTTCCACACATGGAGAAAACGCAAAAAGTAAATTAATGTCGAATTAATTTTCGACCGCTCTCCTCACCGAAGTATCGAGATCATGTTTCTGGCTACGCTTCATATTCTGATAAACACGAATCCACATGCATCCGGGGAAAAAGGATGCTTATCCTTTAATAGTTAGCGCTAATTAATTAACATAAAGATTAACTCCTTAATAAATAAAAATTCGATTATTAGAATAAAAATTTAGCTGGGTGATATCGTTCTTTTTCCCCCCTCACCATGCATACAGCAATAAATTATCCAAAAATTGACTTAGTGTATATTTATATCTTCTAACATTAGAGAATGGAAACACTCCGCGTTCATATTTTCTATAAAAAATTTATTAAAATAATCTTTTAAATTTACACAATTAACTATTGTTGTGGAATAATTTTTTACCTAAAAAAATATTTTCATGAGTCACATTTCTTCAAAAGTTGAAGATAAATTAGAAACCGATATTAAAAAATCGTTTGCTTAATGTGTTAATTCTCTAGCCTAAATATATATATTACTTTTTAATTAAATGCTTTTAGATTATCAATTACTTTTACAACAACGATGTGTTAGGTGTGCAAAATTTGAAAACTGATTTTAGCACAATTTTTCTATATATTTTAGCATTAGGAAACAGCTGTCTTGAAAAAGTTTAAAATTAAATTTATAATAGAATCGTTTGCTTTCACAATCGCACTGGAAACTTTCGAAAGAATGTAAATTTATGGTATGCATGCACCACTGTGCATTGTAAAGTAAAAAAGAAGGTAAAACTGTTTCATTTCCCTCACTGATTAAAAGGAAGCATCTTACCTAATGTTGAACAACGTATAGATTTTTTGTGGTAAATGAAAGAAAACAAATCTAGATACAGATTTTATTAATCGCTGTGAATTTCAGATCATAAATTCTAATTTATATTAGGCAGGTGGTTGAATGACATGTAATTGAGTGAAGAGTTCTGCTGCTATTGACTGATCAAAATGTTTTTATGGAACATCAAAAATTAAGATCATCAAGGTTTTTATTGCCATTTTTGTGTCCAAAATTTAGAAGAATGTAAGTATCTCAAAGTTATGATTACAACTTTCACTTATTAAAAGTTCTTTTCTTAATCGTAATATTTGTATATTATACTTTTAAAAAGTAACGCAATAAGTTCATGTAAGTAAACGCTGTACAATTACTTATTTTCTGCGTTAGATTTCTAATTTTTTTAAGGTCAAAATTCGTGTAGACAATAAGTATATTAACTCGTATGCATTTATTATTTTTCACCCAGACTATTTTAATTAAATTGCTAACCCTCCTGAGGGATTATATTTCCTCCATGTTAACCAACATAGAATTATAATACAGATATTTGTTTTATTTATGAAGTAACTAATAAATACTTTTTGTATAATTTACTTATCGAAATGTGTTCATGTGAACCTTGTGAGCTTTTTTATAACTTAAACTTTGAAAACATTTAGAAATGCGTTCAACTTTAAAATCTTGTTGATAGGTACAATAGAATACATTTCCCTGAATAAAATGAAATAAAAAATATTAAGAACTTTAAATTATATACTTGATAAGGAAATACCGTACTGTAGGTTATTATGGAAGAATCAAAAACCCTTTTCTGTCTAAAATAATGAATATGACCCTTAAATATAAAAGGGAAAAAAATATTTTTCTTCTTTATAGAAATTTGCAAAAGCAAACAAAATTAAAATAATTATAGTTCCCGGCAAAAAATTGTATTTTATTAGTATTATTGGTTATAATTATAATAAAAGCCTGATTGTTTAGTCTTAGAGGAATTATACGATTTTTACTATTGCTATGACTTTTGAGTAACACCAAGAATTAAAGTTAAGCTTATTGTCCCAAATTAATCTTAACTATTCCAAAAATAAAAGTTTTGCCGTAATTTATATATCTATCATCTATTATATATTGTTATTAATGTTTTCCAATTGAAAGGAATGAAAAATGTTTACGTGTGCAATGCGACAAAAGTCAAACTTCAAATAATATTAGGGGGACAGGAAAGTAATGTCGTTTCGGTGCATTTGATATTTGTTATCAAGATTTTATTTTTAATCAATGATGTATTCACCCTTATTAGCAACAACCTTCCAATGCTGGATCGAAAAAAATTAACGGATTTTTAAGACTAACGAAAATTTAATACTCCGAACGATATTACTTCCCGGTCCCCCTAATACTTACTGCTTAATTATTCCTAGAAATCACAGTGTCTATGTATGATTCAAAGGATTAGTCACTTCACAACTATCCATCTCAAACATAGACTAAGAATTGAAAAAACAAAACAATGAAACAAACAAACAAAAAACAATTACTGCCGTAAAATGAGCTATAAAGAGAATATAAGTTTATTTTTGTATGACACGAAATGAAAAACGTCATCACTTTCGTACTAATGTTCCTTAATATTCATCGAAACTTCCAACTCGCCATTGTTTTTTGTAAATAAAATAATCCGTCTTTTTTTTTTTTTTTTCATTTTACGTCTGACAGATAAAAAAATATTTTCCCCTTATTAATCCACCCTTGAACAGCTTACTTTTATAAAATTTTATTTAATTAGTTTCTTCCTTTTAATTTTGTGAGTATTGTTTTTTTTATTTTTGTATAAAACTAATGGAAAGTGTTTGTGCGTTTTTGCACAACATGTTAGAAAACAGTACTAATCTAGATGGCAATATCAGCTTCGCAAATACATGCAAATGCATAATTATACTTACAAAAAAAAACTCATATATAACTTCTACTAACTAACTCATATATAACTTATATTACTTCTCTCATATATTCTTCTCATATATAACTCATATATAACTGTTAGACGGTCTTGGGATTGATTTCATTTGATTCAGAGGAGCATATAAAAAAAAAACTATGTTAGAAACCTTGGCCAAAGGATACTCTGTTCGCCAAGCTAGAAACAATACTTCATATGTTTGAATAGTTGTATATAAGTTTCCTATCTCGTTTCTTTTCCCTCCCGCCAAACATGACTCGCGAAATTGTACTATGAGGAGGGTACTTAAGAGATTTCCGCAAATTTGCATGATTGTTTTTTTTATGAACATTTAAAAACCTATTTGTACCTACCTACTGTACTAATAGTGTGATTGGACTGTGAAGCTGACATGAAATACGGTAATTTTACTGCAGATTTATTATTAAAAGTTATTGGCTTTTCTGGTTAGTTCAATTTATAAAGTTTTTAAATCCGGAATTTTTTAAATACTTTGTTCATTTGTTTTAGAAGTTTTTAAATTAAAAGATAATTGATAGATGATTTTAAATCTTTGTTTTACTTCAGAAAAGTTAGACGCGATTGAGTACTTCTTTCAGTTATATAAGATTGACTCCTAGAAATTTTGGAACCAATAAATATCTCAGCTCATGCGCAAGGGCGCCGGCAGAAAAATATAAAAGGGGGTATAACCCTCTAACAAACCACCCCTCCCCCTCCANCCCCCCCCCCCCAAAAAAAAAGAAAAATTAAAAATATTCTGCTATTACATTTTGTTTTGTTATAACATATACTTTCATCTGATAATTTTTTTTCAAGATACATTTCTTCATTGTTAACAAGATATTTTAAAAAAAGTACGAAATATGGAGGAATAATGAAAATTCTTATGAATTCCTCGAATACATCGATTTAGTTATTGAGGCCACACTGTTTTATCTAGCGGTAGCGGAAGCGATCAAAATTGGTCTAACTCTTCCAGCTACTACGTGCACTATTGAACCCACTTTTAGTACAATGCGACGCATCAAAATATGGAATAGGTCTACAATGTCTCACAAGAGATTAAGTAGTTTGTGCATGCTCAGTGTGCATTGGAGAAGAATCAAGGATGACTCAGAATTCATTGAAAAATTTATAAACAGATTTGGACAGCTAACAAGACGATTACAATTCTTGTTTGATTAAACAATTTTTTAATTGTTACGTATCAATAATTACTTAATTATTTGGTTTTGAATAAAAATATTTTTAAAAAAAAATTTATACTCTATAATTGTTTATAAAGAAAGCCAGGGGGGTGCAAGTGCACCCCCTTGCACTCCGCTGCCTGCCCCCTTGCTCATGCGATATATATATTTTTTTTTAATTTTGTTATAAAATAATACAAAAAGAACAAACCTAGTTTTCTTTACTAAAACACAAAAATTATGAAATATTTTATTATGCCCTGTGCGCTGTTTACAATGATAAGAGAACTAGTCTTTGTCAGTAGTCTTATGTACTAAATAAACAAAATGATTCACTTTATCTTCGTATTCTACGTATTGATCTTCGTATTCTTCATTTATGATGTCTCTAAGCTTTTCCCAATCTTTTCCAAAAGTGATGTCAATTCGGTCATAGTAACAGCCGCATTCTTTTTCCTCTAAATCACACGAACAACCTTTTGGAGGGCAGCAATGTTTTGGCCCTTCCCCTAACATGAGCTTCGAGCAGCTTTCATCCTCCTTTGCACATTTCCTGAAAAGATAATACAAAGATCTACATTGTTATTAGTTTCAATTGCTAATTGAAGGGGTAAGGATAGTTAAAGAAAGATGCATATATATATTTTTAAAATTATATATAGTTTCATTTAACAAGTTCATTTGCTTTGCAAAGTTATCGAAAACCGCCAGATGTTAGATTGACGACTAGAGGATTCATCTCTGGGGTTATATAATATCAGCACAGAGATTGGTTAAAGACAGGAGCAGTATACAAATTAGCCAGTTTTTGTTTACGAGGTGGTCACAAACACTCAGGGGAGGAAGAAAAAAATTGAAACTTTGCCCTTATTTTACCAGGCAGGTTTCATTGATTATCTTAGATTTTTGTTACCGGTAGCATAAATTTTATAATTAACTTTTCAGTTATGCCATATTCTTATGCAAAAAATATACTTCAAAACACTTAAAATAGCTTTTTGAACAGAAAGTAAAGAACTTTTAACCCATGGGAATATTCCCTGCTTAGGAGTTGTAATTGTCCTAACTTTTTTTTTAATCAAAAATTGTTTTATTCTGATTTTGAACTGCTTGATCTGATTTTCCTTTTATCATCTGTCCTAAGTACCAACAATATAGTTGTCCTAAATATCAACTATATATATAGTTTGTAACAGGATTTAACATCCTAAAACTCAAAAAGGAAATACCCTTAAATGAAATAACGTACGAAGTGGAGACACTGACATACATGGCAGATTCGTCTTTAGGGTATTGCCTCCACTTTAATTTCATTTTACTGTTTTTTTCTTTTGGATTTTCAAGGCGTTGCATCCTGTTACAAACTTCTAAGCATCTCCTATAGTGGTATAACAAGTTAATATTTAGTATGTTTTTTGGATTTCTTTTATTGTGGTAATCCTTTCAGTTCTGTTATGAGGTAATAACTTATTTTGTTTTATTTCATCTCAAAAAATTTTTCTTCGGATTCTATCCTCGATAGATCTATGATAATAAATTCTTAAAAAAAAGTTTACTTAATACTAAATGTATCTTTTAAATTATACTTGCTCAATATTTTCTTCTAGTTCTCTCCCCTCTGAAAAAAAAAGAAACTGGTAGTTATTTTTTTAAGTTAGGTATTGTTCGCATTATTTTAAAAAAGTTTTTTCTTTACCTTTATGCCAGTAAGAGCAACTAACTGATGCTAACAAAAGGAGTAGAAAGAATCCAATAGCACCAAACTTCATGTTCTTCGAAAAAATATTTTTCACGAAATTCAATCTGAAAATTTCTGCATCATAGCTATCATTAATACGTCAATAAGAAATTATTCCATATTGAAAAATATGCGTTAGATACTGTTATTTCTATTCTTAAAAACTTAGTTATAACACACTTTTCGAGCAAGTTTTTAATGACTTTTAACTTAAAATGATCGGATTTTCACATAGTACTTAGGTAAAATACGAATGATTTAAGGGCTAGCATTTAAATATGCTAATTAATTAGTGAAGACAGTATTTTAAGTTACAAAATCGTACGAAATATTTCTTTTCTCATAATATTCTGCTTTCATTTTTTCCACAAGGAATATTTCTGAATTAACTTATAAATTTTTCACAATTTACTAACCATTGCTAAGGAATAATCTCTCATCCAAGAAAATATTTTGGAAAGGCCAATTTTTTCCGTCACAAAAGTTAAAAATAAATTCGAAAGTGATTCCAAAATACCATTTGCTTAAAAATTTGCGTTTCTTTTTCTCACTTAAATCTATTATTTTTTTAGTTAAATAAGATACAATAGCAACATATCCTACACGTGAAATGTTTGAGTTACTATAAAAGCTATTTATAGCACAATTTTTGTAGATTTAAAAGCATACAAATATTTCTATATTGTGAAGTAGATTATATAGAATATAGAATTTTTCTGTGTTTAATTCTTTAGGAAATTGCAATATTGGAAGAAAATTATAAAAATTTATTATAAAAATTTATTATAAAAATTAAATATATAATTTATTATTTAAGATGTAGAATCATTTGCTTTTGCAATTCTTTTTGATAAAATGGAAGCTTATTGTATGGATGCACCACAGTGCATTGTAGATTTAAACAAAGTAAAAATATTTTACTTCTCACTGTGTTTAAAAAGAATCATCTTACCTATGTTGAAAAACGTATGGATTTTTTTGATGCAAATGAAAGGATAATTTCAGATGTGGATTTTATTCATCGCTAGAATTTCAGAGCATAAATTGGAATGTTTAACAGGTGTATTTGTAGCTTGAGTGACGATGGAGGAAAAGATCTGTAGCTATTGTTTGGTTTAAATTGTTTTTATGTAACATTTGAAAGAATTTATTATATGAAATTCCCAAAGGTTTTTAATCTTAGTTTTGAATCCAAAATTTAAAAGAATACAAATATTTCTATATTGTGAAGTAGATTACATAGAATTCTTTTTTATTTGTTATTTATGCTTTTAAGAAGTTGTACATATATTAAGTTCATGTAAGTAAACGTTCTATAATTACGTATTTATTTATTTTATTGCTTAAATTTGAAAGAAAACGTATCTTTATTTACGAATTCGAAGAAGCATTCAAAATGAAAATATGTCGCAAAGGCTCTTGACGAAATTATTCCTATCATTAATTCATTATTACTATTTTTATGAAACTTAAGCCTCAAGGAGGGTGGATAAGATTTAAAACTATGGCACTAGTAGTACATCATTTACGTCGCACTAAAGCTGTACAATAGGCTATTAATGGCGACGGTCTGGGAAGCATCCCTGATGAAGATGATCCGAAGACACGCAATCATCATTTTGATCCTCTGCGAAAAGGATGGCTCCGGCACATAGGTGGCCCAGTGAATCGCGGGCGAAGCCGAGTTCTTTACAGTTGAACAATTTAATGATTTCTGATACCGCGCACCCTCCATCCCTTCGCATTCCCGGGCTGAATGTTCTTATATATCAGAACAGAAAATCCCCAAAACTAATTGAAAAAACCGTTTCATTCCAACTTGTTTAGAGGGATATTAATATATACTTGACGATCAATTTTTTTTTTTAAAGTCATGACATACATACTGATATTTTGTTTTAAACTCGTGTAAATATAAATAGTGGGGAATAGTTTATAATTAAGAATAGTTAAAGCTTTTCATGAGGAATAGTGAAATCATGAAAAACTTTTAAAAATGATTTTATTACCAGTTTTTTTTTCCCTACCCTGTCGCTGGCTTATCGAAATGGTCTGTCACCCGCTCATTGACAGCCAGTGATGCTTGACTTTAGTGGTTTATTCCAATATGCCATAGGAGGAACATCAGAAAAATAAAACTGAATTAATGGATCCTAACTCATTACTTACAAACATATGCTCCCCTCCTCCCGAAAAATAAATACACGCTTGAGTAATAAATTCGAACAAGTATTGTAAAGCTCAGTGTAATCGAAAAAAAAACTTTTTTTGTTTTTTGTTTTGTACCATTTTTGTATCACACAAAAATTAATGCTTAAACTTCACAAAGTGAAATAAATATGATCTAGATTATTTAAACTCGATTCTTAGAGACAAAAAACATTAATACAGCTGAAACTCTAAAGTAAGACAACGAAAGTTAGGAAATATTTTTTTAATTTATTTTGTGGTAAATTACATAGTTGATTCAGTGATTGCAGTTGCGTTCTGCATCAACCAATGATTACAAATTATTCACAAACACATGCTACAAGCTAATTTTGTTATTGCGCTGTAATGGATTCTTTTTAAAATCGAACATTCAATGGTAGTTATTTCACGGCATCAAGGATTACATTCCAATCTTTTCCAAAAGTGACGTCAATGCGATCCTCAAAGCAGTAGCATTCTCTGGAGGCAGGATCGCAGGAGCAACCTTTTGAATCACAGCAATGCTGTGGTCCATTGCCCAGATTCAGTTTAGAACATTGTTTATTTTCTTCTGCACATTCCCTGTCAAAAAAAATTCAAATATCAAGACGTTATAAGGAATTATATGTTAGACTCAAAAGCAATAATAATATTAGAATTAAAATAAGAGTGAACATCATTGGGAATAAACTCTGTAGTGTGTCTATCGCTACAAAAATACAATTCCAATTAACAAGTATATAAGATATGTTTAGTCGATTCTGTGTTGGGTACCTTTTCATAGATGAAGGTTGACATTGTCGAAAATTCCTCTCCCCACATTGGTAACCCGGACGTGATATAAACACGCCAACCTTGACAGAAACGCCCACTTTGATTTGAACACGCCTACTTCAATGGATTCCTCCATTGAACAGTTGACTTGTGACTAGGACTGGGCGATATTAGAAATTATATATCGTGATANAAAAACATTAATACAGCTGAAACTCTAAAGTAAGACAACGAAAGTTAGGAAATATTTTTTTAATTTATTTTGTGGTAAATTACATAGTTGATTCAGTGATTTGCAGTTGCGTTCTGCATCAACCAATGATTACAAATTATTCACAAACACATGCTACAAGCTAATTGCGCTGTAATGGATTTTTTTTAAAATCGAACATTCAATGGTAGTTATTTCACGGCATCAAGGATTACATTCCAATCTCTTCCAAAAGTGACGTCAATGCGATCCTCAAAGCAGTAGCATTCTCTGGAGGCGGGATCGCATGAGCAACCTTTTGTATCACAGCAATGCTGTGGTCCATTGCCCAGACTAAGTTTAGAACATTGTTTGTTTTCTTCTGCACATTCCCTGTCAAAAAATTTTCAGATATCGGGAAGTTACAAGGAATAATGATATTAAAGTCAAAAACAATAATAATATTAGAATTAAAATAAAAATGAACATCACTGGGAATAAACTCTGTAGTGTGTCTGTCACTAAAAAAATACAATTCCAATTCATTAGTATATAAGATATGTTAAGTCAATACTATGTTGGGATACCTTTTCATGGATGAAGGTTGACATTGTCGATAACTCCTTTCCCCACATTGGTGACCCGGACGTGATATGAACACGCCTACCTTGACAGAAACGCCCACTTCGATTTGAACACGCCTACTTCAATGGATTCCTCCACTGAACAGTTGACTTGTGACTGTAACATTATTCTGGCGGCGTTGCTACCTAGTCAAGATCACACACAACGTCGGCTGTGTACACTCAACTGCTAATGGCAACACAGGAGCTACCACGATCAGCACTCAAAGATACGGTGGTCTTAATACCGCTCTCCCGGATTCTCACAAAACAGCAATGAATCAACTAGTGGCATCCATTCATCGAATTGTATCACAGCTATTATTCTAGGGGGAAATACTGTAGTGTCTACCACTATAAAAATACAATTCCAATTCACTAGTATATAACTAGAATACATGTTGGGGTATCTTTTCATAGATGAAGGTTAACTTTGTCGATAACTTAAATTCAACCCCACAAATTTAAAAAAAAATTAATCGAATTACTTAAGGAGAAGTTAACTTAAAAAATTTATATCAAACAAAGAATGCCCTGGAATTCTTGAAAGATTTGAAATTTGAGCCTCATGTGCGAAAACATGCTGTCATTGAAAAAAAGGTTGTTGACAATTCGAGATTATTTAAAATAGTAACTTTTCAAACAGCTTTTGTGAATTTTAAGCCTTGGATGTTTGAAATATTTTTTGATATTTTGTTTTTAAATCTATTTACTTTTGCTTTCGTCGTTCTTCAAAAGCGTAAATGAATCTTTCAATAATGATTGCAATAACGCAAAGCGATGTTTAAGAAAGAAAATAAAGTATTTTTAAATTTTTTACGAAACATTAAAAATAAATACTTCTAAAATAATATGAGTTAACATTTATTTCTGATAAATACTTCAGCTGCAAGACAATTTATAAAGTAGCTAATAAAAGAAAAATCACAGTAATAGTTTAATGAAAATATTAAGCATTGCTTACCCTCTTTCTTCAGCCAAAGATTCGCTTGCTGAAAAAAAATGATAAAAAATTCATTAGTGTTAGTTCTTTTTGTATCATAAATAAAAACACAGAACTAAATACTATATTAATATCTATTACTTACCACTTAATATATTTGAACAATCTGCAATTATCAGTAAGGAAAACACAATAATCGCAATTCTGGGTCGATTCATACCTCTTCAAAAAAAGAAAATTTTCTTTTGTAAGTGCTGTCTGAAAATATCAGGAATAAATAAAAATTTAATAGCATGAGTTAAAAAAGAATTAATGCAGAAATTCACGATATTTTTGAGGCCCAAAATCAAAGTTTCCCAAAGCAAACTCGTGACCCGAGGATTTATTTTAAAATTAACTCTGTTTATTATGCATTTATTAGTGCGTAAATTAAAACAAACATTTGTCCTTTCAAAAAAAAAAAAAAAACAGGTGGAAAAGTGCGAGTTATCCGAGTTACCTTTAAAATAATACAGCGCTAATTATAATAGGAATCATAAATAATTTAATTGTGTCAAGAAAATGAAGAGCCCCATTTTTTAAAAAAAATGTTCAGGAAAGCGTTTTTGTTAAAAGAAAAGAAAGAAAAAGCATTTTCTCCGATTTTCTTGTAGGCAATAAGACTTCTCCGTAATTCAGTGAAATCTAGCAGAAAGTTGTATTTAGAAAGAATATTAAAGAATATTTCCGTTCATTTATATTATTGGAAAACCAAGACAGCATTTCCCATTCCTACTGCGTGCTAAGTACCAAATACTTCAATGTTAAAAAACAAGTTGTTTTAATTTTTATTTTCTGAAAAGCTTTGGTGTTTCTCCCCAGAATTCTCGATACGTTTACAGTTTGAGTTATGACATACAGTTTGAGACTTCTTGGAGCGTTGGAACGTATGTTAAGTTAGAATTTGAAAATACTCAAACTTTCAATTTTATAAAAAGGTATTTTAGTCTACTACAAACACAGAAAAAATTAATTTTTTTTTGACAAAACTCCTCATTTAATTAATAACGATATTATTTAACAAAAGAGAAAATGCTTTATAAATAGCCTATTAATATTTGCAAACTCTTCAACATGTAAACTTACCTTTTCATTACTTTTTAATCTAAACGTGATTTTAATTAATAGAACAAGTCAGATACCGTGTTAGTTCATACTGGTTGTCCTAAAATGACCCTCGATTTCAAAAATCAATTAAAGAATATAAAAATAAATAGAAGTATAATTCATAATTAATTAGAAAGTTCATCGACTGATGGCAATACTGACTTAAAAACTTTGGGGCAGTGTTTTCTGCTACAAGTCAAACCATTCTCTATGTAA